TCTTTTCATTGTCTGTTGTTGTTGCTTTCTTTTCTTTTTTAATGTTCAAAATAAACTTTCAAATCAAAATCAATCAAATGAATTAAACTTCCCGTCATGACTGGGCTGCATTTCTGTCAGCAGAGTCATTTTTTCCGAACAGCTGATTGGCCAGTGGGTGGTGCTTTTTATAGGATCAGATTCAACCCTGAACTTATCCTGCTCCGGAGCAGGATAGCCGTTCAGAGTAAGTTACCATGGTGATCTACCCCGATAAGAACTGAACCGGCTTCATGAGACCGAAAACCCAGGGTTAACCCTGAAGTTACCTCGCTAAGACATTAAACCTGCTTCGTGATACAGGCCCCTGATGCACTCCGGCAGGCTATTCCATAAGTGAGGGCCATAATGGCTGAATGCAGCCTCCCCGTGGGTTTTTGTTCTGACTTTTGGAACAATTAAAAGGCCAGTGCCAGAGGACCGCAGGATCCACGAGGGTTGATATGATAAAAGCAGGTCAGATAAATAAGATGGCCTAAGACCGTTAATACATTTAAAAACTAATAAAAGAACCTTAAAATTGATCCTGAAACACATGGGGAGCCAATGCAGTGATCTTAAAACTGGTGTAATGCAGGGACAGCGACATGATTAGCTAAAATAAACAACTACAATAAAGTAATAGTACATTGCCCAGCGGATGCCATGGAGAGGAAGTTGGATTAGCAGCGGACGGATGCCATTTTTCCGCCTGCTGCTATTCCGACCCGTTAACGTTTGTTAAAGTAGATACCTCCATCAGAGGTTTTACCAGATAGCTTGACATAACTGCTTCTTATTATACAGACTCAGCTCAGCACTGCATTAAAAAACCAAATGTTTTTGCGTGCAAACAGCTATAAAATTGGCCCTCAATTTTTCGCTACTGAGGGAAGTCACTAAACGATATGACACTCTTGGTTGCACACAAAATTAGCCCAGCCCCAACCACAACAATAAGATAGGCTAAACTACAACAAAAATACAATAAAAGGGCTATAAAAGAACATAAAATGGGCTATTTTAAGTAGCCTTCAACACGACCCGAAACGCCCTCTGGGTAATATGCAAAACCACTGGCTGACGTCACTCACTAGCTAGTTTCGAAAATGAGATGGTCCATCTCAAGGGGTATATCCTTTAATAAATTCAATTCAATAAATTCAATTCTGTCGGAATCAAACCTCCCTGGTTGGAACATGCAGTGGAGATCAGAGTTGGGTAAGGGTTACTTTAAAAGTAATCAAATTATTTTACTGCGTTAAAAAAGTAAAAAAGTAACCAGTTACTTTACAAATTTATTCCCTGAGAGAAGTAACTCAAGTACTTTTAAAGTACTTCCAACGTTACTCCCTGAGAAAAGTAGCTCAAGTACTTTTAAAGTACTTTTGAATATTCTACATGTCCTATTGGGCAATGGACCACAGGGCACTTAGCCTACATTTTTTGTCTCCAAAATTAAAGTTATGGACCACTTGCCCTTCACTGAGATCCAATTCTCCCATCACAGCCGTCACTTTGACCAGTAGAAACACAGAACATAGACAACTGTATGACAACAACAACCCCAGCATTTTTAATATTTCTTCTAGGGATGTTACCACACAGAGTAAAAGGGGGAAATGATGGTGTGAAACAGCAGAGGCACTTTGTCAACCCAGTGAGTACTGCCATTAGCATCAAGCTAGCAAATAATGTTATTTCTTCATAATGGAGACGGACATAAAGTAATAACATTAACAAATAGTGACGGGGCTTTTACTCACCACAACTGCAGAGGCTACCAGCTTATCAGCTTCATTTGAAACAGACTACATTATAGACGGTCCGTTATTAATCCTTCTGTATCTTTATATTTTTACTTTTTGTCCACTCCCGTTGTCTTCATAAAGTTAACACATCGCATCGTCATTTCAAACTCAACACTTCCTGAATTTATTTCAAATTAAAAGCCCCTTATAACTTCGGCTGAGAGAATCCCTCCATTTTCTAAATAGCCTTTTATTGTGAAACATTTGTGGGAACTAGCTGTGGAGGATTCAGTAGCTTGAATGTTTGCGTACAGTACTTCAAATGTAGCTCCTGCCGACGCTTTTAGGTGACTACAACAACATTTCAGCTGGCACATGAACAGACACAGTGACTTAAATAATAGTAAAAGTAATAAAAATAGGACAAGAATAACCCGATGACATGAAAGACGAGCGGTCCGGGGATAATTGGTGAGTACCATCATGTAGTGTGTCAGGTGTGTCGGCCAAGTCACGGCATGATTTTATGACTCCACAATCGTGCAATGTGACATAGTGACTTTCAGAACGGGCAGAAAAGTTGTGTAGTGGACTGCATTGTAGGTAGGGGATAAGTAGTGTCGTAAGCCACCCCCTCTGTTTAACGATTCCAGCTTGACGTTGATGGCTTCTTTTACTCCTCTTTCAAACCATCTTTCCTCCCTGGCCAAGATGTGCACATTGCTGTCCTCAAAGGAGTGTCCCTTCTCCTATAGATGTAAGTGGACAGCCGAGTCTTGACCCGAGGAGCTGGCTCTCCTGTGCTGTGCCATGCGCTTGTGGAGTGGTTGTTTTGTCTCCCCAATGTATAAATCTGTGCATTCCTGGCTGTACTGAACTGCATACACTAAATTAATCTGCTTATGGCTGGGTGTTTTGTCCTTGGGGTGGACAAGTTTCTGTCTCAGTGTGTTGCTGGGTTTAAAGTGCACAGGGATGTGGTGTTTGTTGAAAATCCTCCTAAGTTTCTCAGACACTCCTGCAGCATAAGGAATGACAATGTTGTTATGTTTTTGTGTCTCTTCCTCTCTGTCTGCTCTGGGTCTTTTTGAGGTTTTTGCAAAGGCCCAGTTGGGATAGCCACAGGTTTTAAGTGCTTCCCTGATGTGTTTCTGTTCCTTCACCTTCCCCTCTGTTCTAGTGGGCACGTTTTCAGCCCGATGATTCAGTGTCCTGATAACTTCCAATTTGTGCCTCAGTGGGTGGTGAGAGTCAAACAGCAGGTATTGGTCCGTGTGTGTAGGTTTTCTGTACACCTCTATGTTTAGGTTTCTGTCCTCTTCAATGTGCACTGCACAGTCTAAGAAGGGTAGACTATCTCCTCTGACATCCTCCCGTGTGAATTTAATGTACTGCGTTAATGTGTTCCGTGAAGGTTTCCACTTCCTCAGTTTTGATTTTGACCCAGGTGTCATCTGAACCAGTGGCTAGGAGCAATTCCCATAAAGGTGGTCAGCGCTCTCTTCTCCACATCTTCCATGTAAAAGATTGGCCACTATAGGGGACACCGGTGAGCCCATAGCACAGCCGTGCTTTTGTCAGTAGAAACCCTCGCTGTACTTGAAATAGGTGGTGGTCAAACAAAAGTCCAGCAGGTCACAAATGTGGTCTGGGGTGAAGTTGGTCCTGAATGGAAGGGAGCTGTCTTGTAGCAGACATTTCCTCACTGTCTTAACTGCTTCTTTGGTGGGAATGCAGGTGAAAAGTGAAGTGACGTTGTATGATACCATAGTTTCGTCAGAGTCCAGTGTTATCTCTCTGGTCTTGTTGGTAAAATCCTGAGAGTTCCTTACATGATGTGGAGTTTTACCAACCAATGGAGCTAAGATCATAGCTAGGTGTTTGGAGATGTTGTACGTGACTGAGTTGATGCCGCTGATGATGGTTCTGAGTGGTGCTCCTTCCTTGTGTATCTTGGGGAGTCCATCGATGCATGGGGTGGCCTCACCAGGGTACAGTCGATAATACAGTGGTCTGTCAATGATTTTGTCCTTTTCCAGTTTTTGTAGATAATCTATGACCTTCTTTTTGTAGCCACTGGTAGGATCACGCCTCAGTGTTTCGTATGTGGCTGTGTCACTGAGCAGAGCAGTGATTTTGACATGGTAATCTGCTGTCTTCAGCACCACTGTGCATCTCCCTTTGTCTGCCGGCAAGATGGTGATGTTCCAGTCTTTCCTCAGTGATGCCAGGGCCTTCCTTTCCTCGATGGTGAGGTTGGAAGGTGGTGTTTTTGCTCCAGCGAGAGCGGCTGATACCTTTAAGCTCAGTTGTTCTGCCTCTGTGTCTGCCAGCTCGTTGTTTCTGATGGCTGTCTCTGTTGCTGAAATAAGATCTACCACTGGTATCTGTTCTGGTGTTCAGTCCCTTGGTCAGGACATCCTTTTCCGATTGAGTGAGCTCTCTGTCCGATAAGTTTTTTACCCACTTCTCATGTATGTCCGGATGTGCTGTGCTGTGATCCTTGTTTCTCCAGGTCGGTATGTCTGTTCTATTAGAGATGTTATGACGGGACTGTAGTGTCAGGAATTTTCATGTCTGTCGTTCCTTCCCTTTGGAGTGTTGCGAAGCCTGTGCCTTCTCAACAAACTTGGAGACATCTTCCAGGACCTCCCTGGGTAGAAGTGCTGTCAGTTCTTCCAATATCTGTTCTGTCTTGGATTTAAGTGCATCAATGGTGAAGTGAATCTGTCTCACTCTCTTGTTGAGTAGCTGGTTCTGGGCCCTCTGAAGGATAGTTGCAGCCTTGTGTCCTTTCACGGTGGAACCCAAGCGTAGGCTGTTAGGGATGAACCTGTGTTGCCTGCATCTCAGGTTGAAACACAGGTGGTTCCTGTAGTCAGCCAGCTTCCTAGATGTTCTTTCAAATTCCCGTACCAGTCGAAGAGCATTCTTCCCAAATTGAATGGCAACTTGTCAGTGAAGATTCTCAGTCATCCAGGTCTTGGGATCCCTCCCCAGATGACTTCACACCCATTCACCCCTGGTCCCACCTGACCCTAACGACTCACATGGTGGCCAGGTGGGTCAACGACACATTGTGACCTTAACGACTCTGAAACTAAAAGCTCACGTGACCCCTACGGCTCTGCAAGTGTTCCCACCCACACAGGGTTTATAGCCTGCAACTTTGTACCAGTCATTTAGAACTGAAGAAGCTTCTTGGATGAGAGGCGAAACGCCTTCAAGAAACGTAAGCAAGTCCAGTTGCCTACGATATAGCACTTACGAATGACATACATGTTGTATTATTTAGCGCGTGCACAGGCCACTGACTGCTCTAACTGAATGCATGCATTGTGTGTGTTCATCCACCATCCCCAGACTGTGCAATAAATCTGTGATTGATTGGACAGCTGCCATCTTTGGCACTCATTTAACACAACGCAGACCGCAACTGTTACACTAGTCTGACTCAGCCAATTGAGACTGTGGGTATAAGCCCGCCATTGGCTGTCTATGTAAACCAGCATTCTCCTCCCTTTTCACTATCTGCATGCTACCTTTTTGCAAGGGCACCATTACTACATTATTGGCTTAGTGCTGCCAAAAACGATTGTGATTGGTTTAAAGAAATACAAACGACCCAGAGCATTGTGTTCCCCTATAGCAGAATGATCATGTATGCTTCCTGACCTTTCTTTAGCACTAACACAGTGCTGTGGAGATAGGTCTGGCTACGTGAGACTACTGTTACACTGGTAGCTGGTACACATACTGTAAATGGTTGAATTTTGGATTGACTTGGAAATTTTGAGGAATTTGGTAACAGGTGTCTGGAGTGTGGCAGAACACCAGTCATGATGAATCAATCCCCTCTTGCCTTCTCTTTCAAAATCGGTGCAGTGTACCACAGAACTTCAGCATTTTGAGAAAGAGAAAATGACCCAGTGCAAAAGCCATTTTCACTGATTCTCTCTGTCTTTCACATTTTTTAATTAAAAAACTCAACTCTCATGTTGTGTTTCATGGCACATACAATTACTATCCCTCTCTTTTTAAATTTGGTGCATTCAGGTCCGCGGTGAGTTACTCAAACAGCTGTGTATGTCCCAGGCGTATGTCAGAAACCCTGCCATGCTCCACGAAGCCCTGTGTGTATATATGTGCTGTTTTAGTGTGGTGCTCTTTTGCAAGAATTTCATTGTTGTCTTCTCAATTACACCCACACAGACCTTTGCACTTCTTTCTCAGATGAACAATCAATTTTATTACATCTGAAATCCCTTTTCCTGTTCCCTCAGTGTTTCTACCACAGACAAAGATGACAGGGGAACAGACAGATTGCTCATGGTAATAGAAGAGCTGTAGAAAAGCTGTGGAAATTAAACACACACAATTTCTTTTTATATCCCAATATAAAATTAGGTTCTACATGGTCGGACTGAGTCAACTGTGTTCAATACACCATTAATAAACCATATGTAGACCTAATTATTATGTAAACAGTGAATAAGCTACTTACTTAAATGGTCTGGTCATGTAGATTAAATAACATATTTAATATGATACTTGCTCCAGGATTTCACCACAGAGGACTGAAAGCTGTGACAAGACAAGCTGTTCAGTCACAATTTGTAGCTATAGTATAGCGAATATAGGCTGCTGAATGAAGAGGTTGGCTAAATGGACTCAATCAATTAGCTTTTCACCCACCCAAAGGCCAAGAGTACAAGACATAAAAGTTTGTTCCTCTATTCTCACAGTCAGAGCATCCAAATGTAATCACCATTTCATTAGGGCTGTACCCAAATATTCGGATATTTGAATATTCGTTTCTATGGGTAGGTATTTGTTATGAAAATTTGGTATTCAATATTCATTTTTTTATTTACTTTTTATTTTTTATTTTTTTTACATATTTTTTTGGTGCTAAATGTAGTCTTTTTGTTGTTGGTAAATGTAGGTTATCAATAAAAATCAAAACTTTTAAATTGCATTGTTAAAAATGTTAAAATATAGTATTGCCTACCAACTGAGCTTGTGCGCACGGCACGCTTGAGTGCATCCGTCTGAGGCTGTGGATCAATGCCAAGTTTTACCACTTTATCACTATTCCCTCTAACTTGTAGCTGTTTTTTCGTTATCTTTTGAACTTAATATGAATTACGGTTTCCCCTCTTTTGTACAATAAATTATTGTTTAAAGTTTCAACAAGTTTCTTTTGGAGTGCGTGACACAAGTGTGTTTTGAAAACGACCGCGGACTGCCATGACAGTAATAGATTAAAGATTATAGTAATAATGTCAAAATGTCATTTACAGACCGATTTAACAGATGATCACTGCTGCCCGACCCGCAGGTCCATTTGCGGGTCCCGCAGGTTACGGGTCGACCCGCGCATCACTACTCAGCTCAGTCTATAAATGCTGTACACAACAGTAAGGCTACAGACATTATATTCTATTCAGGCCGGCAGAACCAGCAGCGCATCGGCTCTACGTGCACAGCACTGCTGATTAACCATTTTATTGCAGCACAGAGTGTCTGCCAGCAACCAATTACTTGCAGAGGCTTCCTACAACTTGTTTCAACGGTTCCGATTTAATCAGAAGACAAATTAAACAGGATGACTAGCCAATGTGAAAATAAAAAAAAAGCATAGAATAATGTATTGAAGGAGACTGTTGTGCCATCACATTTTTTTGTGGTTTGAGAGCAAAGATTCGGTCGCCGCTGTACAAAACTCTGCAATACAATTAGGTCTGAAAAAACCCCGGAGGAGTGCTTTGCAAGGAGTCTTTGAAAGGAGTCGAGCCTGGCGTAAAACCGGAGAGAGCAGGCAGCACAGCCACAGATCAAGGAGCACCCAAGATCAGTGTCACCAATTCAGTATCTGACAAAATGTCTGGTAAGTAATGGCCAGGAAAGAGGTTTTTTTTTTTAGAATGTTATGATGTCACAGTGGTTGACCTTTGACTTTTTGGATATAAAATTTCATCATGTCATCACTATATCCTAGCCAAAAACATATTCTGTGAGGTCAACTGACCTTGACCTTTGACCTTCAACCACCAAATTCTAGTCAGTTTATTCTTCAGCCAAATGGGCATTTGTGCCGAATTGTAAGAATTCCCTTAAGGTGAGATTCCACATTAATGAGAATGAGATGGATGCAAGGTCACAGTGACCTTGACCTTTGATATTTGACGACCAAACTCTAATAGTTCATTGTTGAATCCAAGTTAACATTTGCATCAAATTTTAAGAAATTCCCTCAAGGTGTTCTTGAGATATCATGTTCACAAAAATGAGACAGACAAGGTCACAGTGACCTTGACTTTTGACTATCAAAATCTAATCAGTTTGTTGTTGAGTCCAAGTGGACGTTTCTGCCAAATTTGAGGAAATTCCCTCAAGGTGCTCATAAGATATCGAGTTCACGAAAATGGGACGTACATATTTTCGTACGGACAACCAGAAAACGTAATGCCTCCGGCTACAGCTATCGCTGGCACAGATGCAAAAATAAATAAATTAATAAATAAATACATTTAAAATATATATGTATACAGGGCTTGACGCTAACGTTTTTTTCCCAAGGAGCACATGTGCTCCTAAGTTGAAAAAGTAAGGAGCGCACAAAGAACTTTAGGGGCACAATGTAAATTGATCAAATAATGTGTTTTCCTTAATAAACGTGATGCAGATAGACATTTACAAGCAAAATTATTTAATGAATTTGTATACAAAATGTACAGAAAGGTAAAATCATCAAGTTTTGGAAAAGTAGGCCTATTGCAATTTAATTTTATCTTTAATGTTATTATCTTATATATATTATCTTTGCAATATGATTATCTTATATAATGTTATTACTATCCTAAAACATTCTCCAGGTCCTCTGAAACTCTGCAGGACTTAAAACCTCTTTCACACAGAGCTTTCGTGGCGCCCAC